GAATGCATGAACGACTGTTCACTAGAGATGGAAGCATTTATTAAATGATATTTTGCAGCGTTAAACTACAATGTCATTTAGAAGGAGATGTGGAGCAACAAATTTAGTAAATGTTAACTGATTTTATTGTAATTAGCTGACCTGCCGATATACATCTCTGTGTTCGTGAAAAGCCCAATGGAAAGTACAGGCTTTACCTTGGTTTCGGAGAGTGGAATAGTATGCTAGAACTGGATCTTGTGTTGTGCTGAATGTTGCAGGAAGTCTGGATGGTGTGGAAAGTGACAATCTAGTGTTACAGTCTTAGAGCTCTGATTGACATAATGGTTGTCAAGGATGCATTAAAAGGTTGGGATTGCGCGCCGAAACAAAAAATCCTTTGGTTGAGAAAAGTTTGAAGATGAACAGCATCGCGGCCTTGTCGTGTGGTCCTCCCGGGGATCAGCATTTCATCACCAGCTCAGTGAAAAATTCAATTAGGTAACAGCTCTACAGTAGGGACTACTAAGTAAAACGAGTTAATGTGTGTGTGTGTGTGTGTGTAAAACTTGGGCACTTTGGTGGTATGTAATTCCATAATGATTTTTTTAGTCAAAGGAATCGCAGAAGATATTCGACGACATTAAACAGCCTTTAGACTACCAGGAAAGGACGCTAAAACGACTTGTATCGGGAAAACTGTTAATGTTGTGTAGAGATGTGAGTGCGTTTGGAATCAATGCAGAAGGAGTTCCCAAATATGCCAGTCGTGTTCTAACACCTACTGTGAGCAGAAGTATTCAGTGGTCCAGAAAGAATGTTCAGTGATAGCGTTGTTATTAGGTAAGTGGAGACCTTATCAACTTGGTCGATAGGTCTAAACCGAAACCGGCCACAAGCGCAATTGCAGTGATTTAAGATAGCAAGAGGCCTGTGTGAAAAATTGTCGCAATGTGAATGTTACATCTACCGGTGGAATTGACTTGTTGAGGGCAAATAGTCTTGTTGTCTTGGAATATGCAGATGATATAGTCCTGCTTCTAGGTGAAGACGCTGACAAAATGCAGAGTCATTTGGACACCTTGTGAAGCAGTACGAATCTTCGAGTGTTTGGCATGTGATTTACTCCTATCAAATATGAGATGATGCTACAAGATTGAACTAGAATAAACCGACTCATGGCTTATCAACAGAGAGGAGTGAAGTTGTAGAGTGTGTTGACCACTTAACCCACTTGGGGGAGGGGGAGTTGCATCAAACCCAGTGAATTGACTGATCGGTGATGAAGTCTCAGCACGGATACAAAATGACTGATGACTGGTTTGGCATTTGTCAGGCAATGTATGCCATCTCTACCTTAGTAGATGTGATATCCATCCTGCTGGCTCTCGATCAAAGGACGTGTGTACTGCACAGCATCAGTTCCACCCGTCCTCCTACATCTCTGTGATTGAGACATGGCCATTGAAAATGGGTGATATGAAAAGGCTAGTTGTCTTTCGTCGTATGTGTCTGTCTACTTACTATCTGCCGTCACAGGTGGTAGTATAATATGGTGGTGAGTAAAATTGAGGCTATGCGTCGAGTGTGTTAGGTAAGGAGGGATGGTCAGTCTATAAATTTGTGAAGCTACATTGATTGAGTGAAATGGCTACGACATATTTCAAGCATTCCTAGTCATCGACCGCTTCCTCGAGTGACGGGAAATTTAGCTGACTTATCATATAGGATGGGTCAGGTTGGAAGAGAACTTGTTTTCTGTTCATGAAATGTGCTTGAGCAACTGGGTGTGGTGGTAGGATTAGGTAGAAGTAGTATAGAAATTGATACATTTAGGGGGAGAGTGAACGCGCAAGCGAGAGAGAGAGAGAGAGAGAGAGGTTAACCACTGACTCCTGTCTTCTTCATCGAGTCATCTCTGATGGCTTTCGGTGAGAAGAACGCAGCAGCGAGTGAGGCTTTATATAGGAAGTTTGGCTAAATTCATTGGTGTGATTATGAACAGCGATCAAATTATCATGGATACATCACATCCATAGTTATATCAGATAGACTTATCTACTATATATAGAGGACTATATTCCTACTGTAACAACAGAAGACAAGGGCCAGCCAGGCAACAGATCGTTTATTAAGGAAATCAACACATATTTATAGATTTTCATGTACATTATTATAGAATATTGTTAGCAGAAAAACACAGTCTTCTGATTGGTTGTTTCTCACAGAAAGTTATCAACCTTGCATCTCTTTGTGACTGTTTCTTGAATATCAGATCATCTATATGTTAACTGTATCCGCCTACGCAAAGCCTTTGTTCTCATTTTTCTCACGCTCAATATTGGGGACATAAACATTGACGTAAATTACTGTCGACCAGTTTTGACTAACAGCCAGCTCTCACCACACTTACTTACTTTACTTTACTTCGGCTATCTCCTACGGGAGGATGAGCCGGCTTCATGAACCATGAAGTTTCATGGGAATTGGGTACGAGTGATGTCGCCAGCATCGCTGGGCTCACCACACTACCACTATTTCACTTTTAGTTACCATCGTTATTTGGTAGCGTGAATTATTTTCTCATTTATATATTCGTGTTTACAAATCCTGTTTGCCATCTATTCATCATCGTCTCTTCATCATAATCATCCTCACCATTATTATTATTATTATTATTATTATTGCTAGTCATTGTTTAATGTAAACTGTCATGGAGAGACAGAGAGAGGGTGTATGTGTATTGTGTTGTGTTGTTGTTATACGCGCACACATACACCCACAGCCTTCCATACCACACACTTAACGTGCACATATTGTCGAGATATGTCTATAGATATCTGTTGATGAGGTAATATGTGTGTGTTAAATATCAATTATTTTGTATAATAGACTGTAGAATCAAACGAAAACAAGATGGTGGGAGGTTGGATACTAGCTGGCATTTATAGAAAACTGACACACACCTACACACTCACATACTGATAAACCCTTAGACTTTAATTCCTACTCTGCAGAATCGGTGAAGGCGAATAGATTTAGTTAATTGTCTGCACCCGACCGATATAATCATACAACTTCAAAACTTGAGTTTTTATAGTTTTCTTTGTTCTCTCCTATTTGTCGTCGTAGGGGTAGTAGAATTTTCCAAATATCTGGGTGGACAGGTGTTGAATCATTCCTATTACACGTATATGCAGTTAATTCGATAAACGGAACTTCCGTTATCAATCTCTACCTCCATTCACCCTGTGACACTAGATTTTAAAAGTGTCATCTGATCCCAACCTACTGTATGGTTGTGTGTAATTGCATGTAGTCAGTGGTATAGCTGAACTATTCGCTAGATTTCTTATCTTACTTGGGTCAACCAATCTAGATTTTGGTGTTAGGTTTTTATGTTCGGCTAGTCTGACTGACTGTCCCTGTTCTACTAGTTTTACCTGATAATCATTGCAGCAGCAGGGTATTAGGTAAACTAAATCGTTTTGTTTTAAAGGTTCCTTGGGATCCACCATTTAACCGACAAAGCTTGTTTCTAATTGAGTTTGTGGTTGGTTTGAATGCCAACCACCTTTATTCCTGCCTTGTTAAGAATTGTGTGTAAGGTGGTTTCCGAGGTTCCTTCCTTGTATGGAAGTACTACGGATGATTTAGATTCCTTATTGCTGATGTTGTCTTGCTCACAGCTGACTTGCATGTCGTCGTTAATATTATTATTATTATCACTATTATTATTATAACACTCGCTACCATGATTATTTATTTCATTTTTACCTTTCCTTACATAATTCCTGACTAATTTATCAGGGTAATTACTAAGTTTCAAGGCTTCTTTTATGTGTATCACTTCCAGTCTTAGATTTTCCTTAGTACTACTTAATTTTTCTGCTCTGTCAGTTAGACATTTTACCAATCGTATAATTACTGACATAGGATGGGATATTCGGAAGTCCGAATATCCGTTTGAATGTGTGGGTTTCCTGTAAACACTAGTGTTTAACTTCCCATCTTCCTTTCTTTTTACGTCGCAATCTAACATTGGGAGCTCCCCTTCCTGACTTTCCAATTCATAAGTGAATTGAATTACCTCCACCTTTGAGTTAATGTGTTGGAAAAATCTGTCTATATCCTGTGTTCTAAGTACAGTGAATGTGTCATCTACATACCTCCACCATACTTCGACGTGGGGTGGGGGTGAACGTTTCAATTGGTATGCTTTCCCACCTATCCATGAATATATATCTGCTACAACCAGAGATATTTGTGATCCCATGGAAACTCCCTCAGTTTGTTTGTATATTTTTCCTAGGAATTTAAACACAGTTGAAGTCAGCCACTGCACTGCTGCATTCCCAGCATTATGTCTTCGAGTGGTACTTTTGTCCTAAGTTCGAATTTTTGGTCAGAAATGAATTCGTTTCTGACTGCCTCTATAACCATATTTATCGGTATACGTGTATATATGTAAACTGACAGTGTCAAAACTAACCATTTTCTCTTCATTATCAAATTGTGTTCGAAACTTTGTCACCCAGTAAATACTAATGCTGTTTCACTTACTGTGTGTGATAACATATAATAAACAAACTAATATGGAGTTACTGACTATAGCACAGTTTCCATTCTCACAGGGATAAAGGAAGTTACCGTCTTCCCATCCTCTGACGTTGAATCTGAGGAGTCTTTTCTTCACAATTATTCTAATCATCGTCTCATTTCGTCATCCATCAATATCATCACTCTCAAATTACACAAATCGAGTTCAGTACTCATTAATAGGCTTCTTTGAGAACCAAAATATATACGGGTCATATAATGTGATCTGCCTAATACGATAAGGCATTTCTCAGTGAGTGATGATGTACCCACCGAGGCTCGAACCCAGTGCCCATAGTTTCAAACGCCAAGGCGTTACCAATTGTTTACTACTGATTGTTATGAGTGAGTAGTATAAAATTAACCATGTCAAAAAAGGTCTCCTAACTACTGCTGTTCTTCTGTTTTATGTGATTTTTCAGCTGAAGACGATGAGCTGACCTTTTGTACAGGTGAGACAATTACTGAAGTTGAAAAAATCGATGAAGGTTGGTGGAAAGGTGTTTGTCGACGGAAAGTTGGTCTATTCCCAGCCAATTATGTCTCATTGATTTGATGATGTGATAATGATGACAATTTACGCTTTTTTTTGTTTAAATATGCGGAACCCCGGGATAAAAGACGTGACTATTGCTCAGATCTAATCTATCCATCTATTCGTCTTAAGCATAAATGCTTATGCAATTTCTCAAAAATGGAATGAATGTCTGATATTTTAAGATTCGCTGATTTCGATTCTGTGAAAATATTTTGCTGACATTTTCAGCTTGTTTTTTTAAAAAAAACTTTGCCTTCTTAACATAATATGATCTCTTTTTTATGAATAAATGAATGAACTTTTTTTAACAAAAAATGTTATTCTCTATGTTTAACTGATCTACTTTGATGAAAATGAAGTCAGACGGGGGGAGTATCTGTACAGTGTGTAAACACAAAACGGTGTCATTATTTAGATATGATAGAGATTTTTAGCTCAGGTGGATGATTGATTTTGATGTGGTTGTGTTCTATGAGCTGCTGGATAGTTAATTTGCGAAGCTTTCATCGCCCTCCCTACTAGGCTACATCTTCAGCGAGCATACTTCAATTTGAATTGAAGTGAGCTTTTAGATTTCTCCACGAGTTTATTCATCATCACTCCTGGTGATCAACTTGAATGTGATTCGTTGTCTTTGTGTGCTTTCACACCTTCTAGGCTACTTGTGGTATTGGAAGTGATTGTTTCTTTGACTTGAACTTTGACCCTTTGTGTGTGTGTGTGAGGTTTCTTTCTTATCGGTTGATAAATTTTGTCTATCTCGATGAGTCTATTGATTGATGATTCACTGGAATACCAGGCAGGATTCTAAAAATTCTCTAGCATTCGTAGTGTTGTTTCGTCTGTCTAATGCTTGAACGCTGGTTGTCCCAGTCGAATTGATGTCCGTGGTTGTCTGTATGTAGTGATATGAGTGAGGGAGTGGATATCATGTCTTTTGACGGCTAGCTTATGTTCGTGGATACGAAGACGAAGGGGCCAATGTAATGTTTTTCGCAATTGTTACAATTTATTTTGTAGATGATGTTGGTTTTATCTTCTCTCGTTGTTGAGTCTTTTGGTTGACTCAGAGCCAGCTGAATGAAGTGATTTTGTTGGTTTATGTACGACGTCAATTCCTAAAGGTTTGAAGAGTTTTGTCGTGATTTCTGAGATATCTTTTATATATGGTAGGGCGATTCTCTTTGTGCTTTCCTTGGGGGCTTTTGGTTTGATAGGTTGGCTTGGGGGTATATGTGTGAGTTGATTTTCTATAAACTTGAGTTTCGAATTCTCCTGTGGTTGTTCGCTTGACTAAGACGTCCAAAGATGGTATTTTGTTCTCGGATTCCTCTTCTCTTGTGAATTCAATGTCATTGAAGACCTTGTTTAGTAAGTTGTGAGTTTTATCCAACTCATTTCTTTTGATTATTATAAATGTGTCGTCGACGTAGCGTATCCAAATCTTGGGTTTGATCTTTGGTAATATTATGTTTTCGAGTCTTTGCATGACTGCTTCTGCAATCAAACCTGATATTGGCGATCCCATGGGTGTTCCTTTGACTTGTTCATATATTTGACCGTTGAAATGGAAGTGGAGGTATGTTGTTAGGCGTAGATAGGTTTATGCATTCCATCCGGCTTGTGTGTTGCATCTTAGATTGTTGTGGAAGTTGTTCGTCGTTGCTAAGTAATTGCTCCATGGTTTCTTTTGCTAGTTTTTGTCCGATAGAGGTATATAATGCTGTGACATCGAAAGATATCATTATTTCTTGTTCATCTATTTGGATGCCTTTGATTTTCTCTAGGAATTGGAAAGCAGAGTTGATGGAGTGATCACAAGATTCCCTTAGGTGTTTTAGTTTTCTGTATAATTCTTTGGATAAATTGTATGTTTGAGTTCCTGGCAGTTATACAATTGGTCGTAACAGAATATTTTGGTTGTGTATTTTGGGTCTGCCGTAGAATTGGGGTAGGACTGGTCCATTTCATTCACCATTGATCTTGTTTTGTGATCTGTCCTGTTTTGGTGAGCTTGTTTACGGTCCTTTGGATGTGATTGTCCAATGTTTGTGTGGGATTTGTTGGGAGTTGTTGATATACATCTTCGTCTTGGAGTAGTTCTTCCTCTTTCTCGGTGTATTCTTCTCTGTCCATGACTACTGTTGTTCTTCCTTTGTCGGCTGGTAGAATGACGATCTACTTCCTATTTTTCAGGTGTCATCATTGTGTTTCTTTCTCTCTCTCTGTGTGTGTGTCTCTAATGAGCTGACGCAGTAGAAAGTTAGCCGAAATGGTTTAAACGCCATAATTCTTAGTTGAAGTCGTATTCGTTAATTTATGCCCATCGTGAGAGAGAGAGAGAGAGATGACCTGTCATCACTCATATTGAATGTGAAAGTACAATTACCGATGCTATTGTGATAATCACAGAGGGATAAGCTTGACTAATATAGTATCTAAAGTTCTAGGCTCAATAATATTGCCTAAACTAAGGGGTGCTCGGAGGTACAAACACGAGAGATCCAGTCAGGCTTTAGACCAGGAAGAGAGTGTATTGATCATATCTTCACCCTCCGACAGATTCTGGAACATAGGAATATTTACTGGCGTTCAAAATCATTATATTTCTTGACCTAAAGGTGGCATTCGATTCTGTCGACTGACAGGTTCTCTAGCAATGCTTGGCTGTAAAGGGAATGACGAGAAAATACATTGCACTGATCAAGGAACACATGCAGTCAGCCAGGTGAAAGCCTATGGCGAGTTGTCATGTGAAGTGGTGACAACTATTGGTGTCCGTCAAGGATGCCCACTATCCCCATTTCTATTCAATTTCATCATAAATGTACTAATGAATTTAGCCCTAACTCACTTCGGTGGCTCAGGGAGTGACTTGTTACCAGGGAATAATCTCGTTGACTTTGAATATGCAGACGATATAGTCCTCCTAGGCGAGGACGCTGACAAAATGCAGTCTTCTGTACACTTTCAGCTGGAATCTGCGAATGTTCGGCATGAGATACGCTCCCGCCAAATGTAAGATGATGTTACAGGACTGGACTTCACCGACTCGTAGTCTAGAAATAGGCAGTGAAGCGGTAGAGCACGTTGACCGCCTCACTTATTTGGAAAGTACCATCAGCCAGCGCCAACGGGTTGATCTCTGACTAAATCTCAGCTGAGTACGGATACAGAGGGCTAGTTTGGCTTATGCCAGTTTACACCGTCTCTGGCGTAGACGTGATATCCGGCTGGACTAACGACCAAAGGGCGGGTGTACTGCTCAGCAGTCGCTGCGTCCTCCATTTTGGCTGGCTGTGAGACCTGGCCATTGAGAGGAGAAGACATGAAAAGCCTGGCTAGCCGTCTTTGATTATAGGTGCCTCCTCTCTATCTCCCGTGTGAAGTGGTATAATAAGGTGAGCAATATTGAGGTTAGGCTTCGGTCAAGTGCTAGGTAAGGAGGGGAAATCAATCGACGCGTTTGTGAAGTGACATCGATTGAGAAAGATAGTTAGGACATGTGTTACGCATGCCTGTCTAGCTAACACCTTCCTTGAGTGACGGGCAATATTAGCTGACATAGGATCAGACTGGAGAAGAGCTGGCAAGTGGTGGTCAAACCAAAACATGGCACCAGTCAATGAAATCTACAACAGTTGGTTTAAGCCATATAGGAAGATGTAGACTTCCTGGTTGGGGTCCTTTGAATGGTAAACACCAATGAAGACTGGAGACAATTGGTGATATGGCTGGCTCAAAATCGTTCTCGATGGCTGTTGCAGATGCATCCACTCCTTGTAACTTATAATTTCCAATAAAACTGTTTTGTTCTTCAGTGTTATTATTCCTTTGCCTCATATTCTTGTCTACTGTCTCTATTATGCATTTCTTATACTTTCTTGTCTTGGTTTGTGTGCTACGTGGAATGTGGCGACTTGAATCGCCGCACATCGGTGCAATGTTCTTTGTTGAAAACAGACAGACAGATTGTGATACTCACTACAGTTTGAATGGCTTTATTTTAAAACCTCCTTTCTCTACTGTCATTTCAACAATTTGAGGTCTACAACTGAGTGATTACAGAAGCCACCTCCTACCTGTCATCTGTGAAATAAGATGGTAGCACTGCTTTGTATGCCTGTGTGAGCCATTTAGTCTTTCTTGCTTTTTGGTGAATCAACGGAATCGATCATAATTGTAACTGATTTGCCCTAAATGACATCATTGTTCAGATGGGCCTGTAGTCAGAGACGAGAGAGATGTATGCACAGACTAGAGGTATTCTGGTCTTATCATTTTAAGAACACAATATATTCAGCGAAGAGACCCTTTTCAACAACGAATTTATTATCAAGCTGTACAATCGTATATACTTATATGGTTTTAATATCAAGAAATAATATCCGGTGAGCGAATTAAATCAAAGGTGTGAATACATGAAATAATAATAATAGTGTAACAACAGAAGACAAGGGCTGGCAACAGATGGTTTTATTACGAAAATCAACACGTATTTATATATATTTTATGTACATTAATAAGGCTTATGCAAGCAGAGAAAGGCAGTCTTCTGATTGGTTGTTTCACGGAAGTTACGCAGACAAACAGTCTTATGATTGGTTGTTTTCGATATTTCTCGGAAAGTAGAGCCATCTATCTGCGAATCATATTTGTCCACGTTTAAGTTTGCTGTGATTGGTTGTTGAAACAGCCTTGTTCATATTTTCTCACGGTCCATATAAGAGACCTAGACATTAACGTAGATTAGTGCCAACCAATCGGCTAGCAGCCTGCTCTCACCACAATAGTAGTATGAAATGCAATTAAAACTAAAATATTTGTGATTATAATCATAGTTTAATGTCAAGTGGCAAAATAATTAATGTCATATATAGAATAATACATAAGGTGTATAGATTTTGGAAATGGGTACATAATTATAGGATTAGTAGACAAATATTAAATGCTAAATAAATAAATTTGATAAGATAGAATTAAATATTGTAAAACTAAAAATTTACAATGAATAATTCTGCGTTTAGAATGACAAGTGGGTCAAGCGGAAAAGATTCAGAGTGACGATAGTAATAATAACAATGACAATAATAATAATAATCGTACTAATAAGGGAAAGGTATATAGAATAACTAAATAAACAAAATAAATAAATAAACGTTTATCCCTCTAAGGCCAAGGCAGAAGTAGGGATTTTACATATTTCCTTTGTACAGAAAGGTATGGCTTAAAGTCATGAGTTGATAAGGTTTCCGCTGTCTTAAAAGGTCTTTAAAGAAGAAAACGCTGGAAGTTAGCAGAGATTC